CTCAGCGATGGGCAGACGGTGGCTACCTGGGGAGACCGACATCTGGGAGACGGTGGTGAGAGTCAAGCCCGAACTTGCCGCCGTTTCCGTTGAAGCATGCTCGTACCTGTTGCCCTTGTTGGCCTTGAGTCAAGTTATCACGAAAACTTAGTCGCATGTTGCAGCTTCCTTTCCAGACACCCATGACCCGTCTCGGACGGTTCAGGCGGAGTGGTCTTGCGAGCGCCTGGCGGCAGCCGCTGGAACTATTCGTTTAAAGCGTACCCGAGATGTCGGGGCGAGCGGTACGACGCTGTTAGCGGTGGTGATTTGGAACATCAAATAAAAATGCCAAGATATAGCCTGTAAAAACATTGCATCAATCACTGTCAGCATCACGCTCCACGTTATTATGTTGAGGTTGACAAAACTAAATGTTGTCATGCTGATAGCAGGGGGGGGGGGGGGGGGGCGGGCAGACGAAAGGCGCATTTAGACTCTTTCGTTCGCCTACGCCGACCAACGGCACTGCCAAGCAAGGATCTTTCGTGGCCATAGGTCAAGGCCTCGGAGGTGGCGGGGATCTCCTAGAGCCGAAGTCCCCAGTAACTTGTATTTGTTCAAGGCCTTGGTATAGCTTTCGAAAGAAAAAAGGTTCCCATGGCATTACAATATGACCCTGAACTTATTTAAGTTCCTGTGAAAAAGGAAACTAATAGGGACAGGGCTGACCCCCCCCCCCCACGCTGTCTTAAAGGGTTCTTATAGTTCTTACGGCGGGGAGAGGGGCGAAATCCTAGTTACGCCACTGGTGCTTATTCGCCACATATTCCTGACCAAAACGTGAAGACGACGATAAATGACAGAGAACTCATTGAGCACTTCCAGAAGGGTACGCTTAAAAAGCCTGAACATAAATCCCACCTTCAAATGTCACTCGACATCATTTAGTTGCTTCGTGTTCCCAAAACCTTGTCCTTTACCTGCCGCACACAACATTCACAGCCGACCAGCGCGTCACTGCACGGCTGCCGTTCAGTGGCGCCACTGGACTGCCGCAGGCCTCGTGGGGTCAAACGACCGCCAGCCCCTGGTCAAGCTGTGGTACTCCGCAGGGTGGTCAAATCCAAACTGCCGCGCCATCCTGGTGGTGTCCTATACCAGGCGGAGGTGCCCGACTATCTGGTGACTTCAGCAGGTATTGTCACGCTATCGTAGTTTTGTTAGTGTTAAGAGATGAGCAGATAGCACCTGGAGCATCTCGTCCCAGATAAAGTGACCGCTCTTCACTGAACTGTGGACACGAGCAAACAACATGGCGACCCAAAGTGGCGCATGACAATGAGATCAGTGAGGCTCTTCGCAGAACAGAAGGTCACGCACGAAAGTCATGCGTCACGCACATGTGACCAGTTCGTATCCCGCACCGGGTTTCTTCTTCAAGTTTCGATTTCGATTAGCTCGACGACCACGTACGTGATGGCACGTACGTGGTCGTCGTGGCACGTACATCTTTTATCTGCCGTGATGGGAAGATAAAAGTTCCTGGTCGGCAGGGGTAAGGAGAGGGCGCAAGGTGCACGCGCTGCTCGTTGTGGCCGCGTCGGCAAGCTTATTACCGGCAATGCCAAAGTGGCTAGGTATCCAACACAGAATGGCAGTATTACCCGCGCGGTCCAGCGCTGTCAGACAAATCAGGGCGTCCTGTGTAATGGTGCACAGCGAGTTCAGAGCTGTCGGAGCCGATAAGGAAGTATCTGTTTGGGGTTTAAGTGAATTAGGGTGGGGAAGCCACAAAAAGGCACACGCATCAGACACTCCTTCCCTTTCAGCATACATACAACATACCCTCGTGCGTACACGCGCGCCAACACACACGCTCGTGGTCACATTATTTTTGGTTTATCGGGACCTATGCACCTAGTTTCTATGGGTACACCACCAAACAGAAAGTAATGACTTCACTGCGTTCTGACACTTTATATCAGGTACTCGAATGCTAATTCAAGCTTCGTCACATCCATTCAAAATGTTGCAATTTCTACACAATGAACCGATATTTCTGGGTTGCGTTAACCCCTGGTTTGAGGGTGCATTTATTTCCCATTTGCTATAGTTGGCTCGTCCTCGAATAACACCACAGTTGCATTGTGTATATGCGTTTGTGGCTGCAGCTTCTGAAGTGCTCAGAAGTTTTGCTTCGAATCCGAGGGAGGCTGAACGCTCAAGATGTGAGTCGCATGGTTAAAAAGTCCCAAAGACTAAGTCCCTCCTCGGACAACGTTCATGGGCTCAGCACAGCATGACGAGGCAGCTGACGGTCTTGATCTCAACGGGCATCTGCTAAGCCTCGTGATTAACGAACGCACGCCACCGGCTGTCGCTGCTTCATAAATGAAGGACGCTCCGAAATTCGGATTGAGCGCCTCTGCATCCGCCCAGCCGTCTTGGTATTCCGGCCCCAGGGACTGCCTGCGAGGTTTGTAAGAGCCTAGTCACACGATATCCTCCCCGAGCTGAATCTCTTGACTCTTATGGTGTGTTTTCAGCCATTCGTTCCCCCGATGCGATCCGTCTGAAAGTTATAGGCTTTCATATGATTCTGGCCGTCCTCCACAGTCCTGGTTCCAATCATCGGCCCGCTGATTTACAGCTGTTGTCTTCAGACGCTCCCAGGCCAAGCCGATTAACATTTTCCAACCGCATTACCTTGCCCCAAGCCGACTTCTATTCCTGCACTTGGGAGCCCGTCATTGTTCGCAATCGTTTCTTGCGTTCTGCCATCCAAGCCGAGTCCGATTCCCACAATCGGGGACCAGCCCTTATTTGCAATCACTTGTTGCGTTCCGCGGCCCATCTGATGCGGGTGGTCTAGCGGAGCGTCGCCCGACATCTGGACCCGCTCCGTGCGCCAAGCCAGGCCAGCCACCTCGGCGCCGACGCACACCGCGGCTGTCCCGGTCAGCGACGCTGCCTGGGCCGGCGGCTGGCGGCAGCGGGCGCCGCCCGACCGGGAGACGGGCGGACCGGGCCGCGTCGCGATTGTCTCAGTCCGGCGGCAGGCTCTGCGGGGCACACCGCGAGAAGGGGGTGGGGCACCGTCGGAAATACAGCGATGTCGCCTGCTCACCGAAGTAACGATACAACGGGGTTCGATCCCCCGCGGTGCCCGCCCCTCCTGTCAGGGCGAGAAGCAGCCGACGCCGTATGGCCTCAACCGCCGATCACGTCGTAAAGGACCGAGGGCGAATGTTGAGTAACGATACAACAGATCACACGAAGAACAAAATTTATTTCCCATTGAATCGTGCTCAATTCCAACAGTCATGCCAAGAGACGTGCAAACACGTAGATGGGCCAGAATGGATACGAAACAACGAATCACGCAGTGCTCCTCGCGCCTGCACAATGACCACCGAACAGTGACTTCCTCTCGCTCCCATGACAAACCTTAGGCAAAATTCCACCTATCACTGGGAGACAAAAAACTACACACCGTGCGAGGAATGGAAACCAAGCTGGAGACCACACGATTTAAACCGGGGCAGTCGAGACTCCAGCGTACAGAAGTATAGGAACACGCGAATTTCTAAATCCCGAGGGGGTCGGGGGTTAAATGTAGCATGGCCTCAACACACAAAATTTAGATCAGGTCAACACAGACACACTTACTGATATAATATATTCCTCTTTCTTTGCGTGCCTGTATTAATGCAATTACAAGAGTTTTCTGCCGCGGCCATTATCAATTTAGACGCGATGAGCTGGTACTGCGTCGTCGGCACCCCTCTCCCCCCCCCCCCCCCCCCCCCCACAACTGAAGCCCACTCACGCCTTCGGACGCCACCTCGCGGCCCGGTATTACGGATGCCCCCCTCCCTCGCTTGCTTTGCACACACGCGCAGAATTATTATCGCAAATTAGTTGCCCTCGGATACAAGTCCGAACGATATGCCGATTACGGAGAAGCTCGAGGCGTTAATATATGCGGCGAGACTGGCCGTGCTCCGAGCAGAACACGCACACGTGCACGTGCAGCATATGCGGCAGTCAGGCCGGCGCCGTCGGCACGGCGCTCAGTTCTTCTTCTTGTTCCGATTCTGGCAACAAGACACCCGGTCAGGAGTCTAAATCGTGTGGAACCTGTCAAAAATGGTGGCGAAGCCACTCGCAACCATTGGGCATAAACTACAGCAGAAATAATGCAGTGGACAAGAAAACGCCCTTACAAATGGTTTCCTATATTCCTGTTGTTGCAAATGCGCAGCAAGAGCCTCTTAAATGAACGCTTATCGGTGCTGAATACTGAATATTGCCATCAGGCTTGTAAGGAGAGGAGGCTTTTCTTTGGTCAAGTATCAGCTTTTCCGCCTTTCCAGGCGCACAACTGTGCATACACAGCCAGCATCGCTTGGCAAAAGCGCCCGGGCAAGTCTGACACGCCCCGCGTCCACAGCGCTGCTGGTCGGTTCTCACCTCCTTCTGCATGAGGATGACCAGGATGTGGCGGAACACGTCCACGAGGTCGACGAAGAGCATGAGGGCGTGCCACACGTAGTCCTTGTCGCCGCGACGGCGGCGTTCGATGATCAGCTGGGTGTCGTACAGGATGAAGCCGCAGAACAGCAGCAGGCCGCCGTACAGCTCCAGCTGCCACACAAAGCGCCGCGCTCAGACCCGGCAGCCCCAGCGGCCGCACGCGGCAGTGCGTCACAAGGTGTCGATGTCAGAGATCGCACAGCTCCAGCTGTCACACACAGCGCCGCGCTCTGACCCGGCAGCCCCAGCGGCCGCACGCGACAGCGCGTCACAGGGTGTCGATGTCAGAGATCGCACAGCGCCAGCTGTCACACACAGCGCAGCGCTCAGACCCGGCAGCAGCCGCACACGACAGTGTGTCACAGGGTGTCGATGTCAGAGATCGTATAGCTCCAGCGGCCACACGCACCGCCGAGCTCAGCCGCCGGCAGCTCCGGCAACCGCACACAACGGTGTGCCACGGGGTGTCGATGTCAGAAATCGTACGGCTCCAATCGTTGCACACGGTCATGGCATTACATCACAATGATGTCAGATATACCTCAGTTGACAAACACAGAGAGCACGGACCGCCTGGTCTTCACAGCGGCGACTTCTTCAGCAACCTGATGAGCAGCGCATTTTTCGGCGATATGTCGTAACCCTCAGCTGTCGCACACACATGGTACACCGTGAGGAGCACCAGTCTCAAAACTTCGATTAATTTTGGTAATTCGCAGCGCAAGACACATAACAAAATGCCGTTTTCAGATGACATTCAGATATAAGATACAACAACGGCCAGAAATTACCGGTACTCACCCTGAACAACCATTAAACCCTGTCCACTGACTGCGAGGTACGATTCATCATAAGTCCCGCCAAACTCATATCAGACGTGACCGACGACGGGCGTCAGAGAAGCTCACCTGGAAAATCATCCGCGATTTGAAGAAGAGGTTGGCCAGCGAGAGCATCAGCATCATGGAGAGTCCGGAGCCAAGGATGCCGCCCAGGAAGAGGAACTGGGCGCGGCGGGCGTACAGGGCGGCCAGCGTGAAGCTGACGAACACTGCGCTCGTCATCAGGAAGGCCGTCGGGATCAGAGTCGTGTTGATGTAAAGCGACATCTGCAGAAGCGGGCCCAGGCCCAGACCTGTCGGCGCAGAGGGCGCTCGGTGGGGACATCTGCAGAAGGGGGCCCAGGTCCAGGCCCCATGGCGCAGGGGGCGCCTGGTGAGAACATATGTAGAAGGTGGCCTAGGCCCAGACCGGTCAGCGCAGAGGGCGCTCAGCGAGTATTTGCGGGCCAGACAGTTTTATATAAGGCGAGGCTCCATCTTGATAGAAAGACAACAATGACTGTTGTACAATGTGGCGGATCCACGATCGGCGGGCCTTCCGGCTCCAAAATACGCGAGGATTACTGCCCCGAGTGCCCGTCAGAGAGGAGGTTCACCCCAAGAGATCTGTGGATGACTGGAATTCTCCTCCAGATTCGACCGTCCAATTCACAACCATGAGTCCGTACAGAAACCTCATCGATCATTGGTGGGAACCCGTGTACAATACTTCTTCAGATGCGTGGCCGCGTATTGGACAGGACCGCCTAAAGGGTTATATCCCTAGCTATACATGGCTTGTGGCGAAGAAGGGCTCCCGCCACATAAAAAAGCAGCCCCAGTGCAACTGATAGCTGCAGCTGACGAATTTCAACTACTGCGCGGCCTCAGCCCTGTGAGGCCACGGCTGCACGAGTTATAGACCGGCGGGAGTGCGATGTCGCCTTTACGGAGCCGGTCTTCGGTACAACAAGCTGAGACTACATCGGGAGACCAAATGCGGCGTCCAGCCTAGTCCACTAGGACCAATATCTACGGAATGGGCCAAATATGGCCAGACTATTGGCCAACAATTTGTCAAGCTATGCGATGTCAATTAGAGCAAGAACACTATAACAGCCAATTGCTGCCCCCCCCCCCCCCGTAACTTTCGGGAGGGGCGGATCTCCAAACAAAGTGACTACCTTTGGTTCCACGTCATTACCATTGATGTCTTTCACGCCTGTCGCCATCTCACCCGTACTACGTCGTCCAACCGTCCAACCGACATCCCTTATCTGATCAGAACTTAAGGCGCAACTGTTATGTTCAACCCAACTAGGGAGCCTACGCCGCTTCCCTCGTCCTTGGCCCTATGCTAAAATTTCGGTCGAGTACATATCATGCTTATCAAATAGAGGGATGGGGCTCCGTCGGGAAATGGCCCGATCAGACGGACTTGCAAATCCCGACGGATAAAACAAGCTACGGGACTGGGCAGCCCCAGCACCAGAGCACCAATCAGTGCCAGAACCCATCGCACAGCTCATGACAGAGCCTCAGATGTTTCGGTAGCTGTCCCGATAACAGACTCGGGGACAAAGGCAGGCACCCCGACCACGGGAGCACGGCGATTCCAACAAAACAACGGCCGCAGACACGCGAGCACAGCACGACGGAGGGTCGTCCAGCAGGGGCGCCCAGCTCGACTCGTCTCAAACGACGGTCCATCACTTCGGCATAACTGCAAAACACGGCCGGCGTGCGGACGGCACCGCACACCAGCCACGTCCGTCATGCAAACGCCACTGCCCTGCTCAAGCGGCTCATCTAGTCGCCGCCGTCCTGCCAGCCCGCTAGATCCGTGCGTGCGCGGCACGCGTTTGTCACAGCGTGCCACGTGACCGCCGGTGACCGCGGGACTCGGCGGGACTCCCCCGCTGAATGCCAGCGGCAGCCGGCGACTATCGCTCCGTACCGCAGCACTGGAGCTGCGCGCAGCCCGGCCCTCGGGCGTGCCTCGTCGGAGAACGTTGCGCAATCAGCAGACTTCTAATGTAGCTGCGCGCAGCCCGGCCCTCGGGCGTGCCTCGTCGGAGAACGTTGCGCAATCAGCAGACTTCTAATGTCACGAATCGAATGCCGCGTCACGCCCTTAAATGAACTGCCCGCATGTCACATCACTGCCATATAGCAGCGATGATATGCATCGCAAATTTCACGCAGGCAATCGATTTTTACTCAGGAAGTGTTTTTTTGAAGCGCCTGGAAAATTTTTAGACAAAAGACAAAGGTTCACCAAGAATAGATAATGAAACGTTCATGCCGCCATCTTCCAAGGAAACCTTTGCAAAAAAGGAGAAGGTCTCTGGTGGAAGGTTTTGCGCCTTCCTGGGTTCTCTACTGAAGCGTTGCAGTGGCATTGCTGACGGATGTCAGTGCATGCCTCTGTCGCCGGACAACAGTGAAAACAAGCCCATTATTGGCTTACAATTACCTACATTTGTCACCACTCAAAAGCGAAAAGCTGTAAGACAATTGCATTTTTGCAGGTATATTAAACCGCAGATGTTTGCTCCGTATTTCACAGCTCCACACCCACCGGACGTTTCACCTTCACGTCTACGGCAATATGCATTGTGTATTTCGGATGCACTTGATGTTATAATCAAGTCTGTACTGGAATGGGATAAGTTTTTTAAGGCTACCATGCCCTGGAGGAGAATAGCGTATGTGTATATATATACATCTATATGTATACATTACACATACATATACCATCATATATATGTATATATACACACAGGACCCTTTTGTACCTGAAACAGCCCAGACCTCACTCAGCATTACAGGCATTCCAGGGTCCACAATACACCATACCCACATGCTTAAGAGTTTTAGGTTTGATTTGATTTATGGAAGAATACAAGTGAGAATTATGGAGATGTCCTGCCAACCTCAACAGCATCTCTCTCGGACTCTCCATCCCTGATCTAAGTCCAACCCGAGGGATTCGAACTAGAACGTAGATCGGTACTCCTTGGGTCACTAGTATTTGTCGCGCCTGGGGGGATTGACTGGTGCTACAAGACCTTAACTGAATTATTTTGATTTCATACAACAGGACGGCCATCAGCATGCAATAGTCGGTACAATAGCACCTTCCAATCTCCACATGCATCAGCATGTAAATCCTACAGCTGGTATGTTCACACAATATGGGGCAAATGCTCCAAATACATGCAGATGACTACCAATTCCAGGCTGGATTTGGTCCGGGTGTATATCCTCAGGCTTACTCCTCGCTAATGAGACACCGCTTAGAGGCCTGCTCGACGCCGCGGGCCACCCACCTGAGCAGAAGGCGAAGCCGGCCAGCAGGCCCAGCCGCCTGCCGGTGTTCTTGCCGTCGTCAGGCGTGAACATGAGCGCTGCCATGAAGCCGAGGGCGGCGAGCGTCGACAGCAGGCCGCCCGACAGCAGGCCCGTGTAGAGGTGCACCGTCGCGCCGGCGCCCGCCACCAGCGTCGACACAGACACCGCCGAGTAGACGTTCTTCAGGTGCGTGCGCACTGACGGCTCCCTGCAGGATGAGATGTGCCATATGAAGCAGCAACAGATGTGGAGGAAATGGACAGAATGTCGCAGAAACACTGAACACTGCATGCTGATTTTGTGTCACACCCATATTGCAACAGGATGAAAAGCTAGTTTAAGACAGCATCAACAAAAACAGCAACATTGCACCAGGAGAAAGTAGGAGAAATGGGCAGCAATGACACACTACAGCTGGAACCAAGTCATCCAAAGTGGGAAAGATCCAAATGTCACTTGTATGTGCAAATTAGATATTAAGAGTAAGCTTTTTGTGGCCATAGGAAAAGTATGTACATCCCTCACAGTGAAAAACAAGCTGATTCATTGTAAAAACTTAGGGAAACAATTGTACCCTGACAGTGGGCTTAGCCATGAAGGACCATGCACACAAGCATGAAATAGCAGGAAACCAAGATAAAAATAAAGTGTAGACATGTCATCTCAACTTAACCCAGTCACCACAAATTGGGTGAAGGCATGCTGCTCAGTCACACTGAAGATGATATTCTGGCATTGGCCAAAAAAGAGAACACACAGGATGATGTATAGATGCTTTCCATAGCAAATATTGTGAAACATGATGCCAGAGCAGAACAGACCATGCAGAGCATTGCAGCATGTTAAACTTTTGCCACCAAATTCTACCATCAGACTAGAATTCCACCATCAGATGGGAAGGGTCAGGGTTCATGCAACACACATGGCTAAGTGCAATATCTAATCCAAGAACACCAAGAACACATGAACAATATGTCTTTGTCGATACCAACAATCATCAACACCACCCACATGCGGCATCACGAGCCAGCCAGCTAAATGCATCTGTAGTGGTTTGGTTTGGTCATTATTTTTCTGTGCTTTAGAACTGAGAGCTGGACTGGGAATGATCAAACTTACCTTATCATATCTGTCTTTCTTAGAAATGGCTGGGGTATATGATGGACTATTGTTATTGAAACCAAATATAACCAATTACCAGTGACCAAATGCTGTCACTGCAACAATGCAGCCATTACTGATGTGATACAAAGATGTTGAAGGGTACGAAAACCCCATGAATAACTTAAGTTGCACATAAATTTAAATGTTCTTTGGAGCTCATGTTGCCTACAAGATGCATCACCACAACACTCCAGTATCTAATGTTCATAAATATTCTAATTAACTATTAATATTACATAATCTAAATGCATAAGTTTCCTTATCCATCCACAGTTGTAACCAGGTGGTCACAGAAAACCACACAACTGGGCAGGCTGCAAACCATGGCAGATTTGAACAAGCTTTAGCTGGGGCAAAACTGAACAGGGCAGGCAGCCTACCAAAATATAGGGCTGAGATTATTGAACTGGACTATTGTCTCACAAAATGTTCTCAGATATACAAACTAATAAAATAATACAAAATGACCATATCTGATGTAAAATCAGGTTTATGTAGACAGGTTAAGTGAACAAAATATGCTTCAAATGATGCAGCATACGTTTCTAGCATGATCGTGTGCCCCAACACCATGGTTTCACAAACCATGCAAATAATTACTTCATAACTTCCCATGTAGACTGCTTTGATCAGCTTTCATAAAGTTTTGTCTTCAACTGCCCTGAGGTGGTGATAAATATAACTGCCAAGTATCTTTGACGCTGACATCAACCAGGCGCCTGTTTCACATCATTCCCTGGGCAGGTGCGTACTTACAGATGCCCGGACAGGCCCTTGATGAAACGATCCGGATTCATTTTCGTTTGCTTCTGTTTCGACCTTCCCGCTTGTTTTCTTGAATAGACACCAGCTCACTTCCACGACTTCGACGGCTGCGTATCAAGACCCAGCTCCAAGACAGTCACCTAGGGACACAACCCAATCAAACGCAGCAACTCCGTCTCTTATCTTCGCGACACGTACGCCTTTCCGAGTCAATGTTCAGCTGTTGGATGTCGTCATTCTTGTGTTCCAAAATATTACCATTCCGACTTTAACGTACCCTCTCGTACCAACTTCCAGCCTTCAGTTAAGCGACGCCAGTCAGGCTGTAGCGGAATCCTTACATCGTGTTGCGATTTATATTCCTTATTGCAAAATAATTCCACAGTTGGTAAGAACGGGATTTTTGCGGCGCCCTGACATCGGTTTAAGCCTTCAAAGAAATATTAATTGCGATAGAGTAGCCATGTGCATTCTCACTTCCCAGCCCCAATTCTCCCGCCCTGAAAATTTGTTGAGTCTAGCTGGATTAGAGGTCAAAGTTCAAAGTCATTTTGTTTCGGCCATTTTGGTGAAGCTGATAATTCATCGTCTGTCAATGCTTGACCGAGACGTCTCAAAGGAAAGCAAAGAAAAGTAATAGTAAGCACGAATAACAGTATAATTTCGAGGCATCAGGAGTCTGGTTTCAAAGTGAGGTAATGTGTAGCAAACCAATGCTTCATCTAAGGATTTACAGATTATCTCAGTGATAAGCGATCAATCAAGCAGCCTGGTCGGCAGAATAGCATTATGGTCGCAAAATTTATCAAAACACTGGTGTTAATATTAAAATCGGCACGGTAATTATCAGAAATCAATTTCATTTTCGTGGTATTGCCTTCTTCTGGTGAATGTACTATTCTCATAATATTTAACTTGGTTTCGTGATCGTTGAATAGAAAGCTGGCTTACAAGTTATTCGATGTGTGCTGCCAAATTGTTATCAGCACCAATGATAAGCCAGCATTTTTTCCTACGTCACGCGATGACGCACCAGCGGTGCCGGCATGCTGTGGCTGATGTAACATGACAGGCCTCTTGTGCCGCCACGAAACAGCGCCTGCCCGGCAATGGATGTCAGTGCCAGTTACTTGTGCGCGCATGGCGAGGAAAAGAGTAGCTTTGAGAGGAGTAAGTAACCTTTTCCAGATCACTGTGTATTTATCAGTGGGGCAAGTTAAGGACCAATTTCAGCATTTGATAGCACCCAACGGGCTTCTACACTTACGCATGGGTGAGGTCTTTGTGAACGTAGGTCCAGTGAGTGTACGCCTCATGGGCTAGACCGAATGAGCGTAGGTTTCCTGGGCGTACGTCCAGTGAGCGTGAGTCTCCCGAGCATAGGCGTAGTAAGCGCATGTTTTCTGGGAGTAGGTCCAGTGAGTAGGTTCAGTGAGTGTGAGTTTCCTGGGCGCAAGTCCAATGAGCGTAGGTCTCCTGGGCGTAGGTCTCCTGGGTTGTTCCCTTTCTGGCTAGCAAGGTTTGGCAGCGTACACCGAACAGCTCCACACGCCAGCTGTGACA